ACACTATACATAATAAAAAATAAAGTCTTTAAAAAAAAATTCTTCCTCCCTTAAGTTGGTCTTTGTCAAAATGTTTTATCACAGCAACAGAAACTGGAACAGTGGGCAGTTGGGGGAGGCTGCTTGTTCATTTCCCGGCTGCCTAGAGTCCCAAAATAATCACACATAAATCTATATTAATTGTAGTACTGTGTTGGGGGCCAGCCCCAACAAAAATACCTTTCTCCAGAGTGGAGGTGTGGAAATTTAGGAATATAGTAAAATGTACAAAGACGTGAACAAAAATAATAAAATACAGAAACCTATAGGACAGGATCAGTAGGGAACTTTTCAGTGGTTGCCAGTGTTTAATTTCCAACTGGTTAATATACCCCGACACCAAAAGGTAGGAGTAAAACAAATGACTGCATTGACATACCAATTGAAAGTCACAGGGTACATTCATCACACTCACACCCTAGACTCACACCCTAGACCAAACATTCTGTAGGCAAACCACTCCCTGGGTAGAATCCCAAGTGATTTCTTTAATGGTCTGTCCTATCCCTTTAAGAGACAAGCCCTGCCCACCCCCTCACCCCCCTACCCCCCCCCCACCCCTGTCCGCTGAGGCAGGCATATTTTTCCTTCCTGCTTGCATCCCGAGTCTCTTTCTGTCTCCCTGTCGAAGAGGCAGCTCTGTCTCTCCCTTCTCCCCACTTCTCCCCTTTCCCCTTCTGTTTCTCTGTCTCTCTTTGCCTCTCTCTCTCTGCCCTTCTCCCTTTCTCCCCTTTCTGATGTGGGAGTGTCATATATCAATCTGTTGATTTCATTGGTTAAAAAAATAAACTGCTTGGCTGGCCCTCATAGGTTAGAACACAGGTGGGTGGAGTAAACAGAACAGAATGCTGGGAGGAAGAGGAAGTGAGCTCAGACTCCACAGCTCTCCTCTCGGGAGCAGACGCCTCAGAGAGACTCCATGCTCCCCGCTCCCGGGAAGATGCATGCGATGAAGCTCCGACCCAGGATGGACGTAGGCTAGAATCTTCCCGGTAAGACCGGTGCTACACAGATGATAAGAAATGGGCTAGTCCAGGTGCGGGAATTAGCCTAGAAGAGGCTAGATGGAAATGGGCCAAGCAGTGTTTAAATGAATACAGTTTGTGTGTTGTTATTTTGGGCATAAGCTAGCCAAGCAGGTGGCCGGGGTGCTGGGAACGCAGCCCCACTGCTCTTATTTCAACACCTTTCCCCTCCATAACCCACTAAATATCCAGCCTCACCTGCTGTCTCTTACCCGCCGTACAGCTCCCTGCCCTGGACCAGCTGCCTTCGGAGACCTGTGGAGTGGTCTTTTGGCCTGCCATCAGTCTGCCTCTCGTGGGACTGACTGCCCCATTGAGATCTCTCACCTACCACATGGCTGGGACTTGTGGCCTGCTGCAGCCACTTTAGAAATTGTGCCATCCCTGCCTGGGGTGGCTGCTCTTGGGACCTGAGGCGAGGTCTCATGGCCCACTGGGCCTACTGCGGCCACTTGGGGATTATCCGCATTTTACTTAATCCATTACAGTTTCCATTAAGGGAACTGAATTTAGTTGGATCCTTAGACTTGTAGTAGGAACCAACTACTTCCCTATTTCAGAAGCACAAGGTTTGGCAACTAGCCACACCTGTTGACAATAGCTTTGTGAGAGCAGAACTCTGATTTACAACTAGGTGGGACCTTTGTTTGAGCACAGTAACCTTGAATAAACTAGAAACAAGTCCCAAACTCTTTTGGCCTCTACAATACTGTTTGGCCAATAGCTTAAGTGTATTTCTGGCTAACTCTTATATCTTAAGTTAACCTATTTCCATTAATCTTTGTGCCATGTGACTGTGGTTTACTGTGTAAAGTTCTGGCATCTGTCTCTGGTGGGACTATGTGGCTTCTTCCTGACTCCACCTACTATCTCTGTATATTTCTTTGAGCCTAGCTTTACTTTGCTGAAAGCAGCTTCTTTATTAACCAATAAGAGCAATACATATACAGAAAGACTTCCCACACCAGTGGGCAACCTGCCAGTGCCCATATCCCCAAGGAAAAATGACCCCCTTGTTCCCCTGCAGCCAGCAGCCAGTAGGTCCTTTGCTGGGTGTGCATTCTGGCGTACCCTTCCCCCACCAATGTTGGACTTTTGACTGGCTTGATCTTGTTCATGGCATTTCCCAGCACATTCTGCCTCCTCATCCTTGAGATGTGCCCTGCGTTTTGGGAAAGTGGGGTTGATTTAGATGTGACATTAAGGTTAATAAAAGGAGTGCATGTTTGTACATTCCTTGAACGTCTATTATTGAAGATATCTGGATTCTTGAATTTTTCTATCTGTGAATGTGTGTGTACAGTGTGCATGCAGAGCCCCAAAGAGGGTAGTGTATCCCCTGATGGAAGTTAGAGGTGGTTGTGAGCCACCACGTGAGAGCTGGGAATGGGTCCTCTCCAAGAGCAGCCAGCGCTCTTAACCTCTCCAGCCCTGATGTCTGGGTTCTTATATCTGTCTTTGGTCTTTGTGGTACATCTGTGGCCTCTGGAAAACCCAATTCATACTCTCACTAAAAGAAAAGAAGGGAGGGGCGAAGGCAGTGACATCCTAAAATTTATCAGAAACTATTAATACTTGTTTGAAGGTGACTGAAACTCTGCTAACTTGTCTATAAAGTTTTCTTTATTATTGACAATATCAACATCTTAGTGTTCTGTGAAGGTACTTTGACTTTTCAGGTTCCGTAGAAGTTCCCAGAACACTCAAGGGTTTTGAGTTAATAGTTTTAGAATTTTTGTTTGGTTCTGTTACCATTTTCCTTTGGTTTCTTTTCTAGGCCAAAATGAGAGTATGTGAGCTGGGTGTGGTAGCCTGTGCCTGTAGTACCTGTAGTACTATAGTGCCTATAGTACCAGTACTCACTAGGTCAAGGCACATGGACGGGAGTTCTAGGCTAGCCTGGACGACATAGCAAACTTAGGTAGCAAAATATCCCCCCCCCCCCAAACTCTGTGTATTTCTTATTTTTGTAGAATTTATTAAATTAAAGTACCTTTTAGCCAAGCATGGTGTTGTATACCTATAATCTGGGAGGCTAAGGCATAAGGATTGCAAATGTGAGGCCAGTCTAGGCCCAATAGTGAGCCCCATCTCAAGAAGGCGAGTTTTTAATGAACAGAGTGAATTTAATCAGGCTTGTTGAATTTAACTCATTATAGAGTCTCACTTAAAATACAAGATCTCTGCAGCATGGATATACCGCACATGGGTTCTGCACTCAAGGTTGGATTTCTTCCGAAGACTGGCTGCACCACCTCACCCTGAACCTGCACGGTGCCCACTGTACTTGGCTGGTTCCCCCACTGCACTGCAGGAAAACCTTTGCACCTGCAGCTCCTCGAGCTCGTTGGCAGTGGGGGCTGGGCCTTCTCTTTGTAACCCACTTGTCCACTCCCTACTGAAGCATTACCATATCTTGATAATAGTAGACGATTGAAAGAAGCTGCTACATGTGCCGGAATATAATTTGAAGAGATACATGTATGTTTAGACATGTTAACTAAAGAGGATCCAAGAGTTATTAGTGTATCAGTAGAGCTTCTGCTTAGCAGGCTAAGGGCTCGGGGTTCAGTCCTCTGCACCAAACAATACTTTAAAAACTAAGTCATTTATGTGGTGTTTTGCTTGCATGCATGTCTGTGCACTACATGCTGGCAAGTTCTCTGGGAGGACAGAAGAGGGTGTGGGGTCCCTCGGGTCTTTGTCACAGTTGGTTGTGAGACCGATGTGGATTCGGGAATCAAATCCGGGTCCTCTGCAAGAGCCAGTTCTTAACTGTGGAGCCATCTCTTTAGCCTAGCCCCCAAATAAATAACATTTTGATCAATGAGAGATTATAGTCTCAGTGCATGAGTTACTGGCATATTATTTGTTAATGAGTTGCTTTGCATATAACTTTGTCTTCTGTTTGGTTTTTTAGTTTTGATTTTTTTTTTTTTTTTTTTTTTTGGTTTTTTCGAGACAGGGTTTCTCTGTGGTTTTGGAGCCTGTCCTGGAACTTGCTCTTGTAAACCAGGCTGGTCTCGAACTCACAGAGATCCGCCTGCCTCTGCCTCCCGAGTGCTGGGATTAAAGGCGTGCGCCACCACCGCCTGGCTGGTTTTTTAGTTTTTTGAGACAGGGTCTCGCATTGTATACCATACTGGCCTGGAACTCACTCACTATATATCTGAGGTTAGCTCACTCTGGGGCCGTTCCTCCTGTCTCAGTCTCCCAAGTGTGTACTCACAAGTGCAGGGCCTCACGCCTGCTGCATGTCTGCTGTAGAGTGCTCTCTAGGAATCCGAACCAAGAAAGCCACTTCCTCTCCTACATTGTCATGGCTTACCATCCAGCAGATGTCTGAGCCGGCCTCAGGATGGAGAGGGTTAGTGGTTAAAGGCACCTGCTGCTCTTGCTAAGGACCCACATTCCGTTCCCAGCATCCACATGGTAGCTCGCAACGTCTTAACTGTAGTTCCAGAGCACCTGGTGTCCTCTGGACATACGTACAAAGGGCCACACCCATACGCATAAAATAAAAATGAATAATAAAAAACAAAACAAAAATAAAGCAAGCAAACAGAAAGAATTTATGGTCTAACATGTAGTCTGAGAGTTAGCAGATTTGCATAAATAGCTGGGGAACTTGGTCTTTCTGGGCTACATGGTCTCAGCTCTGCCATTGTGGCCCCCAAATAGCCAGATAAATAAATGTAAATAAATGATTGTGGTTGAATTTCAATAAAACTTCATAAATGGAAGCAGGACCAGCTTGCCAGTTACTGCTCTAGTGTCCCTTTGTTAGTCTCCTTGTGTCCCACTGGGAGACCCACAGCAGCGATTTCCGTTGAGATTCCACTGCTGAAGTTGTTAGATGAGATTATAAAACACAGCTTACATGGTACAATTTAAAGAATAACATTCTTTTTCTTCCTGTCGTACCTTTTTCCCCAGGACACCTTATTTCCGTACATCAAAGAGAATGTCAAGGAGTACCTGCAGACACACTGGGACGAGGAGGAGTGTCAGCAGGATGTCAGCCTGCTGAGGAAACAGGTCAGGACTCTCCTCTTCCACCCAGAGTCTCAGAGTGGAGGGAACACGCTGTGAGCGCTGTCAGTCAGTGCCCTGGATGCTGAGGGGTGGAAGCTGCAGGGCCTTGTGGGCCTAGCCATCCACAGCGTGTCATAAAGCAAGCGAGTCATAGCAACTCGTCTGTGGAGTTGCTTCTCTCAGAGGCTGTTTATAAACTTGGGCCTTTCTGGTGGAGTCCAAGAGGTTTGGTAGAGTCATCACATCTCATTGATATCACCAGGTGACAGCACCTTGTCACTTTCTTCTGTCCTATCTCATGGCATGAAACTACCCCCTAACGGCCTCACAGGTCCCCACATCATGCCTCTCTGCCAGACTTCTCAACCAGACTGCGCTCTGTTGCTCCAGTCAGTCTGTACTTTTTCCTTCCACATGGTGTGCTGGCGTCAGTGGCAAAGATCTTCATGGTGTGTGGCCCCCACCAGCCGTTTTCCTACACTGGATTGTGGAATGCTCTCTAAAAAACAGGTCTTTTATTTATGGTGAGAAGTTAGGTTTAGAAATAATTGTAACATCCATTGAATCATGCAGTGTTTGGGTTTGCTGAGTTTTCTGGATAATGTGAGGTCAGTGTGAAATAATCCCCTTCATCTTTTTATTGTCTCAAAAATGTTCCATACATACATATTTCATGTTCAGATAATGCATTACATTGTTACAGAGTCCTTGTATATGCATTTCTTTTAATTATGTGTATGTGTGTGCGTGCGTGCATGCATGCATCTATATACACACATGCCATGGTTCACTTGTGGAGGTCAGAGCACAAATTGAGAGAGTCATTTCTCTCCTTTTGATCATGTGGGTCCCCCAGAGATTGAACTCAGGTCATCAGGCTTAGTGGCAAGTGCTTTATACCTAGTGATCCATATTTGCCAGATCATTCCTTTAAGAATAATTTTTAACAGTTCTCAGGATAATTGATAGTTGGAGAAAACTGATCTGCCTGGTTTTGCTCTATCTTTTTTAATATAACTATGCATGGGTATGTGTGTGTGTGCAAGTATATGTGTGTAAGGCTCTTTAAATATATGCATGAACAGAGTTGATTTGTTTCTGATTTAAAGGCTGAGGAAGATGCGCACCTGGATGGCGCTGTCCCGATCCCCGTGGCGTCTGGAAATGCAGTGGATGATCTCCAGCGGATGATCCAGGCCGTGGTGGACAATGTGTACTGGCAGATGTCTCATGACCGGAAGACCACGGCGCTCAAACAGCTGCAGGGTCACATGTGGAAGGCAGCTTTCGCAGCGGGCCGCATGAAGGCAGAGTATGTGCTCTAACGCTAAACCATTTCCCAGGCCTCAGATCCACAGCCCCCCCCCCCCTTCCTCTTTTTCCCGCGTAACTTGCACAGTTAGTAAAAATAAAGTTGCTAGGTGTGATAATACACCTTTAAATCCTAGCACTTAGGCAGAGGCATGAAGCACAAATTCCAATTGTTCTTAATAAAAATTCAGAGTCAGCTATCAGGGGTGAAAGCTGAAGGACAAGAGAAGCAGAGCGGCAGCCACTAGAGTTCTTACTTCTACTAATGCTCAGACCATAGGGTTGGTCCTGTCCTCAGACTGCACTGAGCTCCTGTCTCCTCCCGCCTTATATTCTTCTCCACCCCATCATATCACTCTTGTCTCCACCTCCCTAGTACTGGGATCACCTTTGTGTGAGCTCTGTTTCTCTTTTAGGCAGATTCAATCTTGTGTAGCCCAGGGTGGCCTTGAACTCACAGAGATCCCTCTGCCCCTGTCCCCCAAGTCCTGGGATTAAAGGTGTGTGCACCGTTCCCTGGCCTCTTGCTCTGTACTCTGATCTTCAGGCAAGCCTGATTTGTTAAAACACAAGCAAAATATCACCACAGAGGCAGGCAGGTTCTAGGCATGGCAAACCAAGGCTACATAGAGAGACCCTGTTTCAAGAAAGGTCAGATTGATGTTGCTCTCATTGTAGCTAATGAGTTGTTTTCTTTTCCCCTGGAAGCTGTGTCCCCCAGATCTGTGCTTTTGTGGGAGGTGAAAGACTTTGGTTCTGTTTTTTAATTCAGCCTGGTGTGGTGTTGGGAGCTGGCCTTCCTGAGCCTTCTGTGGGCTAACCAGGTCACAGCCACCCTGTGGCAGGCACACAGTGACACCAGTGACAACACTCGATGACAGCGCTGGGGGTCACTTCTCTAGCCATCATGCTTTTTGCTGCTGAGAGAAGCGAGAGGGCTCAGCAGTCGGCTGGGCAGTTAGTAGTCCTGGGAGACCCAGTGCCCACTCTGACTGCCATGGGCACATACATACATTGTGCATGCAAAACAGTCAAACATATAAAATAATAAACATCAGAAAGAGAGAGAAGTAAGCCTGTGAAACCGTGTTACTTTGAGTTAGTCCCTGGCACTGTTACCTCCTCTGCTCTTTGAGCACCTTCATAATCTCGGAGTCTCAGTTTGGGATTTCTGCTAGTTCTCCTGCCAAGCGTTGTATTGCTGAGACTGAACAACAAATGGTAACAGTTGTGGGCCAGTGAGATGGCTTAGTGAGCAAGGGTTCTTGCTGCCAAGGCCGACAACCTGAGTTCAGTCCCTGGAGCCACACTGTGGAAAGAGATGAATGACTTCTGCAGGTTAACCTTTGACCTTGATATGTGTGCTATGGCATGTGCTGGTGTGTGCAGGTATGTGTCTGCACTTGCATGTACATGCACACAGAGACACACACAGTTGGTACAAATATTAAAGATAGGGTCTCATCATATGTATATCCTAGGCCTGGACTTGGAGTCTAGCCAACATAGCTTCACCCTGGGATTTTCCTGCACCGGCCTTCTCAGGGCTGGACTTTATGGTGTGCTTCCATACCCAGCTGACCCGAGAGGGTCTTTTTAAAGGATTTTAGTCAGTTGCTTTATGTAAATCCTCAGGTTGAAGGCCATTTTCAGCTGCCTGTTTTTTGTATTTTTTATATTTTGTTTTGTTAAATGAGAGGTCTGTGTCTGCGACAAGATCTGCCTATTAAAGGAAACATTGCTGTCCCAGGGTGTGCCCTTACATATGTGCAGGAAGTACTCTTAACATATGTGCGGGATGGGGAGGAAAGCATTTTCATGGCTTCTCAAAGAACAGTGAAGGTAAATGAGTCTGTTCTTACAAATTGCATCAATTAAGCAATAATATTGTTCATGGTGTTTATTTATATTTAGCTCCTTGAATGAAAACATAGTCACTTTCTTAACTTTATTATTTATTTGTGTAAGTTTTTGGCCTTACACACTTACGTCTGTAAGTACATCACACACATGCCTGGTGCCCATGGAGGTCAGAAGAGGGCATTGGATTCCCTAGAACGGAGTTACAGGCGTTTGCGAGCCTCCATGTGGGTGCTGGGAGAGGAACACTAAATGCTCTTACATCTGAGCTGTGTCTGCCCATTAATTACTTTCTTATTTCATCTCTTCATGCTTTTCTATTGTCAAGTGCTATCCTCTCCACGAAACTTGTTGCTTCTAATCTGTGATCCTGGAACTCAGTGACCTGTGTCTTAGGACCACAGGAGTTTCCTGTCTCATGGAGCGGCTTCTCAGGTTACTGTTCATGCCAGGGCAGAGAGGCATGGCGACTGCATATCCTCTTGATTTTCACCTGGCTCCATGGTGTTTCTGCTTTCTAATTAGCTGCTTTCCCTCCAGGTTCTTTGCAGATGTGGTCCCAGCAGTCAGAAGGTGGAGAGAGGCTGGAATGAAGGTGTACATCTATTCTTCAGGGAGTGTGGAGGCTCAGAAGCTGCTCTTTGGGCATTCCACAGAAGGGGATATCCTTGAGGTCGGTTACTTGGTGGCTGTGTTGAATACCATGACCAAAGCCACCTGGGGAGGTTTTATTTGACTTACACTTTCTCACAAAGTCATTTGGGGAGTTAGGGTAGGAACTCAAGCAGGAAGCTGGAGGTGGGCACTGATGCAGAGACCGCAAATGAGGGCTGCTCTATTGGTTTGCTCAGCTTGTTTGTTCACGCATCTGAGGGCCACCTGCGCAAGGGTGGTACCACGCACTAATCAAGAAAATGCTCCTCAGATAAGTCCAGAGGCTAATCTGATGGAGAAAATCCCTTAATTGAGGTTTTGTTTTTTTATTTTCTTCAAAGATGACTCTAGTTGGTATCGAATTGACAAACTAACCAGCACCCTTGGATTTTTTTGTTTGCTACTGTCAAAACATGAAATATCGACTAGTGAAAAGCACCTACTGAGTAAGCTCCATCGGCAGCTAGACAGGGAAAAGATGTGGGAAACTGAAGGTACCTTGAGTGGAGGGGTGAATGACCTGGGCCACAGGTCATCCATCAGTGACAGGTTCCTTAGAAGTGAGTAGGGGGATGAGAAAATGGGATGCTGGGAAAGTTTGGGGTCAGGAGGTCCTGCACAAGCTGATGGTTCACACGGCAAGCGCATCTTACATACAGCTTGCAAGGGGGAAAATGGGGCAGTGCTGGTCGGGAGTTAATCAAGCACACTGTACAAGGGGACACAGGATGTCTTAGATGTGCCAGGGACTGAGCACAGCCACCTTGGGACTGATAACTCCAGTCTCGTGGGAAAGTCAAGTTTCCAGGAACAGAGACCACAACTCCTTTGAGGCCCTGCTTAGAGCCCCAGATTGGACCTTGCCAAGTCTGCCCTTGAGGGAAGACCGAACTAGGTTCCTTTTGTTCTTTTACCAGGGCCTCTGAGAGACCCTGGCTCTGCATGGCTTTCTGCAGGTGAACTGTTTCGTGTAGTAGCAGCTTTTGAAATAGAAGCCTCTTAAATTTTTCTTGAGCAAGATCACCAGAAGTTTGTTTAAACGTGGGTTCTAGGGCTGGGGTACCTCAGCTGGTAAGTGCTGCTGTGCACGCCGGAGGACCTGAGTTTGACTCCAGCACCATGTAGACGCCAAGCTTCACGGCACACACTTTTTGTAGTAATAGGTGTGGCGGGGCTGCGTCCCCAGCACCCCGGCCGCCTGCTAGCTTATGCCTCGAAATAATTACACGGACACTGTATTCTTTTAAGCACTGCTTGACCCATTAGCTTTAGCCCTTACTGGCTAATTCTCATATCCCGATCAACCCGTCTCTAATAATCTGTGTAGCATCAGTCTTACCGGGAAAGATTCTAGCCTATGTCCATCCTGGGTCTGAGCTTCATGCGTCTGCCTCAGAGAGCAGAGCTATGCCTCTGCCTGGGAGAGGGGAGCATGGCGTCTCTGCTCCAAAGAGCAGAGCTGGCGAGTCTGAGCTCACTTCCTCTTCCTCCCAGCATTCTGTTCTGTTTACTCCACCCACCTATGTTTTAACATATGAGGCCAAGCAGTTTCTTTATTATAATTAACCAATGACTTTCTGGAGGGCAGTTGCTGAGGTGTAACCACCAAGGTTTCTAGGGAGGTGCTCTGCCACTCAGCTGTGCCACCATCTCTAAAATTAATATTTTCTGGGCCCATCCTCGGTATGTAGGGTACAGGTTTTTTTTTTTTTTTTGGATAATGGCATATTCTAATTTCAGTGTATGTTCTTTTTGTTTTTTATAGTAGATATAAAACCAGTAATGAGATCTTTTGATCAGCGGTGGCTATTTTCCAAATACAGACAGAAACTTTCTGTCCATTGAGATGGGCAGTTAGGTCGACTTGTGTATGGCACGATAATTACCTACTGATTTCAGTAGTGAAAGTCTCATTCTCCAGTTACCATGTGAGGCAAATAGAGAAAATAAGTATGCAAAATCGGTCTCAACTCTTTTAATCGTCAACCCGGGGGCCTGTGAGATGGCTCAGCAGGTAGATGTGCTTGCCTGGCCAGCCTGACGATCTGATAGTTAATAAACCAACCAAGCAACCCCGGGGGCCTGTGAGATGGCTCAGCAGGTAGATGTGCTTGCCTGGCCAGCCTGACGATCTGAATTCAATTCCTGGAACCCATTTTAAAAAGCCAGACATGGTAGCAGCCTTTGTTATCCCAGCTTTACAGTGTGCTCGGAAGGAGACAGGGACCACCCAGAAGCCAGTCTAGACTGTGTAGCATACAGAAGCTACAAGAGAGACCCTGGCCTCTCAAGTCCCGGTCCTCATACCTTAGGATTACCTTTTTGTTTTTGATTGTTAAACCTGTTTTTAGTTGGCAAAAGACACTCAGACAGTTGAAGCTGAACCTATTAAATATAAACTTACGGGCTGGAGAAATGGCTCAGTGGTTAAGAGCATTGCCTGCTCATCCAAAGGTCCTGAGTTCAATTCCCGGCAACCACATGGTGGCTCACAACCATCTGTAATGACGTCTGGTGCCCTCTTCTGGCCTGCAGATATGCACACAGATAGAATATTGTATGCATAATAAATAAATAAAATATTAAAATAAATAAATAAATATAAACTTACTTTAATTACTATTGGTTAAATTAGCAAGCATTTTAGTTATGTTTAAGACCTCAAGGGTAGTGTTCAAAGATGTGTTAACTAGAAATTAGAAATGAAGCTGGGTGTGGCTGTGCTTACTAGTAATCCTAGCACTTGGGAATGTTGAGGAGCTCAGGTTCAAGGCCAGCCTTGGCTTCAGTAATGAAAGTTTCTTGAAAGCAGAGTAATAACTAGGGTTCTGGCTAGAGATATCTTTTCACTCTTTGGTTTTTGAGGCAGGGTCTGGGTGTGAATCCCTGGCTGGCCTGGATTGTGCTGTGTGATTCTGGCTGGCCTTGGTAGTGAACCTCCTGCTGGCCTAGAACCGCTGTGATGGCAGGCAGGTGCCAAAACACTCGGCTAGGATCAGAGGGCACTGTCCACAACCTTCTTTTTGTTGTTGTTATTTTTTTTGTGTGTTTTTGTTTTTGTTTTATGAGACTGGGTTTCTCTGTATAACTGCCCTGGCTGTCTTGGAACTCGCTCTATAGATCATGCTGACCTCGAACTCAGAGATCTACCCACCTCTGCCTGGGATTAAAGGCATGTGCCATCACCGCCCAGACACAACCTTCTTTTTCATCTGGAGCAAAACCCAGTCCAAGAAGTAGTTTGAATAGAAACAGTGTTACAGGGCATGCATATTTAAAGGATTTGGGGCATAAAACAATGACAATGACAACCAAATGAAGCATAGGTTGAACTAGTAGATTTCTTCCAAGTATTTATTTCCATAAACCTTTATGGAATGACGCCTCCGTGACTGGCGTGCAGTTCAGAAGGCTGTGAGTGGGCGTGGTTCGCACGTGTACGTGTACTGAGTAGTTCCTCCCGTTCTCTCCAGCTTATTGACGGCCACTTCGATACCAAGATTGGACACAAAGTGGAGAGCGAGAGTTACCGGAAGATTGCAGATAGCATCGGGTGTTTAACCAGCAACATCTTGTTTCTCACAGACGTGACTTTAGGTAAGGAGCCGGCTGCTTGTTACGTAGTAGTGAGGGAAGCAGCTTGGCGGGAGCAGAGGTTTGGTTTTCTCATGGTCGCTGTGTCAACTCACACAAAGATCAGGAAGCACAGGAGACCAAAGCAGGTCTGGACCATACCCTCTCCTGCCTACACCACCTTTTTCCTGAAGGTCCCACAACCTCCCCGATCTTAGCAACACCTGATGGAGACCAAGTGATGCCAGAGCTGTGGGGAGCAGATCACCATCCCGGTAGATCAGCTCTCTCATATGTGGATGTCCGCATCATCCTATGGGAGGGTTCAGGGCTAAGAGTGCTTGCTGTGCAATCATGAGATCCTGAATTCAGGTCCCCAGGAGCAATATAACCAAGTATGGCATTGAGTCAGGCTGACAGTTGAAAAGTTATGGGCCTACCACTTGCTTAGCTCAGTCTTCATATCTGTAGACTGGGACAGAGGTAACGGTGTAAGTTATTTTGAGTTGTTGGGAACCGTGTGAGAACAGGAGCTGCATGAAGATAGGAATCCTATTTGTTCACACGTCTCTCATCCAACTGTGGCTCCTAGCACACAGTAGATGCTTTTACAGATGGTAGCTTTTGTCTTTTGCATAAAGATAAAATGGAGAGATGAATGTAAGCCACAGTGTATTAGAGATATCCACTATAGCACCTAGCCTTCCTGAGCTAATATGACAGGTCTTGTTTTTCCTCCCTGCCGCCCAGCACCGCCCTAGTCCCTGATCATAAGGTCCCCGCAGTCTAAGGAGGGTAAACAGTAATAAGCTCAGTGATGTCCCAGCGAGCATAGTGGGTGAGGCACACGCAACTGCTGTAATACAGGGATGGTGACCCTGGATGTGTCCTGTTGAGTGGAATTTTGAAGAGCGGGAATTTGTCAGGCAGAAAAGATGTGGAATCTAGGCAGGGGCATGACATGCATGCTGGGGCCTGAGGTGAGAGTGTGTTCTTTGGGCCGGTTAGATCATAGGTCGCCTTTGTTCTCTGTCTACTTCATTGGTGTTAGACCCTACAGCTTGCCCTTTGAGAAACAGCTCAGCTGTCTGGGGCTAATATGTAGGACTGGATAGAGAGCATGGGCCAGAGCAGGCCTGTTACGTTCGTCAGTCACAGTACAGGATGAGCTGTGTTCTCTGTCGTCATGTACAGTCAGGTGCTTTCTACCATAGAATTAACATATATGTAAAGAATGATATAAATGCCTCAAGGTGTCCGTCTTTCAGCTGCAAGAAAAGCCAGGGCCCAACTCACTTCTTGATCTCTCTCCAGCGACTTGGCTCGTCTCAGGTGTCAGGTTTGCTGCATCTCACCTGTCACCTGTCCTTTGCTTCTCGCAGAGGCCAGTGCTGCTGAGGAAGCAGATGTGCATGTCGCTGTGGTGGTGAGACCCGGCAACGCGGGACTAACAGATGATGAGAAAACATACTACAACCTCATCACATCCTTCAGCGAGCTCTACCTGCCGTCAACATAGAGCAGGTTCTGAGGAAGACTAAACTGTCCCCCTAATGTCTAGCTTTATTCTAATTGTAAAAGTAACTTACTTGTGTGTACACACAGACATATGCAAGTGTATATACATGTCTGTGTGCTCAGATCAATTTCCATGGCACATGTGTGAGCAAAGTATCAGTTCTGTGAGAACCAAATTCATGTAAAGATGCTTTATGTGTGGACCATAACTCTAACTCTTACCAAGGCCAGAGTGTATTTGATAGAAGAAAATCAAATGTGTGATATTTATCAAATTGTTTATTAAAATGGAAAGCTAGTTTTGAGAAATTATTATCCAGAGACCTTGTTATTTTAAAAACTGTAAGTGCTTCACAGGCATTCGTAAGAGGAATCCCTGACTGCCTTGTGAACTCGAATCACACTGCTGCACTCAGACTCGCTTCCCGCGTGCACGAGACAGAGCCATTGGTTCTGCTCAGACTCGCTTCCCGCGTGCACGAGACAGAGCCATTGGTTCTCAGACTCGCTTCCCGCGTGCACGAGACAGAGCCATTGGTTCTCAGACTCGCTTCCCGCGTGCACGAGACAGCCATTGGTTCTCAGACTCGCTTCCCGCGTGCACGAGACAGAGCCATTGGTTCTGCTCAGACTCGCTTCCCGCGTGCACGAGACAGCGCCATTGGTTCTCAGACTCGCTTCCCGCGTGCACGAGACAGAGCCATTGGTTCTCAGACTCGCTTCCCGCGTGCACGAGACAGCCATTGGTTCTCAGACTCGCTTCCCGCGTGCACGAGACAGCCATTGGTTCTCAGACTCGCTTCCCGCGTGCACGAGACAGCCATTGGTTCTCAGACTCGCTTCCCGCGTGCACGAGACAGAGCCATTGGTTCTCAGACTCGCTTCCCGCGTGCACGAGACAGAGCCATTGGTTCTCAGACTCGCTTCCCGCGTGCACGAGACAGCCATTGGTTCTGCTCAGAGAAGGGAAATTGGTTTTGGTCAGTCAGGTGTCAGATGGTGCTAGGCAGCATGTCCACCTCTAGAGCAGTGTTCGTGGAGCAGCTGAGGTGACGATGGCTCCGCTCCCCCTGCCAGTGTTAGTACCGTTTTACAGTTGCCTTCTTATGTCTTAGCATAGCTTGAATATATGTTAATGACTATTTTTAAAATGTTTTATTGAAACCAGTGTAACACCACGAAGAACTCTAATGTGTAATATTTCCTCTGAAATGGATGTGCTAGATGTACATTTTATGACAGCATTGTTTATCCCCATGCTTTCCTGACAGGGTTTCATGTCCATGTCCTGGAATTAATTAATAAAGGCATTTTCCTCTTTCAGTTTCATATAGATTGTGGAGTGTACATCATGCTGCCAGAAGCAAAAAGGAAAGTAAGCCTGGAACAGCAGAACAGCTGGACTTTTAGTTTTTGCACTCAGTGTGTGATACACATGTCTCTTTTAACAGGCTATAAATGAAAATCATTACCTAGCTTCAACTTGTAATAATTCCGGCAGTAAGCATTCATGTATGAGTGAATGTTGTAGCAGGCCGCTTGTTTGTCCCAGCTAGCTTAGACCCAAAATAATCACATAGGAACTGTATTAATTAAAACACTGCTTGGCCCATTAACTTTAGCTTCTCATTGGCTATCTCTTACATCTTAATTTAACCCATCTCCATTAATCTGTGTATCGCCACATGGCAGTGGCTTACCGGCAAAGTTTTGGCATGTCTGACTCTGGGGGCAGATCCATGGTGTCTCCCCGCTCTGCCTTCCTTCTCCCAGCATTCCTTTTGGTTTTTCCCACCTAGCTCTGTTCCCCTACAGCTCTGCTATAGGCCCAAAGCAGTTCCTTTATTAACCAATGAAAGCAACACATAGACAGAAGGACCTCCTACACCAAGTGAAGGTTCTTGGAACTTTTGATAACCGTGTTTTTTTCTTTTTAATTTTTTTAAAAATTTTTTTGTGTAAGTTTGTGTGTGGTGTGAATGTGTGTTTGATACGAATGTGAGTATGATGTCAATGTGTGGTGTGAATGTATGTGGTGTGAGTGTGTGGTGTGAATGTGGTGTGAGTGTGTGTGTGTGGTGTGAATGTATGTGGTGTGAGTGTGTGTGTGGTGTGAATGTATGTGGTGTGAGTGTGTGTGTGGTGTGAATGTATGTGGTGTGAGTGTGTGTGTGGTGTGAATGTATGTGGTGTGAGTGTGTGTGTGGTGTGAATGTATGTGGTGTGAGTGTGTGTGTGGTGTGAATGTATGTGGTGTGAGTGTGTGTGTGGTGTGAATGTATGTGGTGTGAGTGTGTGTGTGGTGTGAATGTATGTGGTATGAGTGTGTGTGTGGTGTGAATGTATGTGGTGTGAGTGTGTGTGTGGTGTGTGAATGTGTGTATTTGATGTGAATGTGTGTATGGTGTGAAAGTGTATATGAGTTTGTATGTGGTGTGAAGTGAGTGTGTAAGGCAGGACAGTGTGATAGTTGGTTCTCTCTTGTCATCTGGGGTCCTGGGTATTGAATTTAGGTCATGAGTCTTGGTGGCAGAAACCTTTACCCACCAAGCCATCTCATTTTTTTGTTTTTTGGTTTTTTTTCAAGACAGGGTTTCTCTGTGGTTTTAGAGCCTGTCCTGGAACTAGCTCTTGTAGACCAGGCTGGTCTCGAACTCACAGAGATACACCTGCCTCTGCCTCCTGAGTGCTGGGATTAAAGGCGTGCACCACCACTGCCTGGCTCATTTTTTGTTTTTTGAGACAGGATTTTTCTGTGTCGCTTTGGCTGTCCTGGACCTCTTTTGTAGACCAGGTTGGCTGGACTCAGAGATTCTCCTGCCTCTTCCTCATTATTGCTGGGATTAAAGGTGTGCACCACCACCACCGCCCAGCAGTATCTCATTTTTTTAAGCTATGTAAGAACATGCTTGAAGAAAACAGTTATTTTTCCAATTAATCAAGAAAATCTTGGAAGAATAATTTTGGAGATGCATTGAATAAGGGGGAAAGTCTTGCAAATATGAGGGGGGAAGGGAATAGAAAAAAATGTTATGTTGATGATTCAGATTTTGTATCAGACTCGAAAATAGAATCAAATTCATGTAAGCCATAGAAATGGGACTAATTTGTAAATGATGATAAAACCATAAGCTAATGAAAGGGACAGTTGTGCATATTTTAAGCTATGTAAGAACATGCTTGAAGAAAACAGTTATTTCTAATTAATCAAGAAAATCCTGGAAGAATAATTTTTGGAGATGCATTGAATAAGGGGGAAAGTCTTGCAAATATGAGGGGGGAAGGCAGAAGGCAGAACGGGTTATTGTTTAATAGCAGTGTCTTAGGGTTTCTGCTGTGAAGAGACACCATGACCACAGCAACTCTTATAAAATAAATATTTAATTGGGGTGGCTTATAGTTCAGAGGTTCAGTCCATTATTACCATGGTAGGACATAGTGGTGTGCAGGCATGGTGCTGGAGAGGCAGCTGAGATTTTACATAGTGCCACCTCCTTTGGGGGCCCTTTTCTTTCAAACTACAACATTCCATTCCCCGGCCCCCAAAGGCATGTAGCCACATCATAATGCATAAATGATTCAGCCTAACTTCGAAAGTCCCCATAGTCTATAATAGTCCCAAACTTATTTAAAAGTCTTAAGTCCCAAAATCTCTTCTGAGATTCATGCAATCTCTTAACTCTAATCCCCTATAAAATCAAAATAAAAAAGCAGATCACATACTTCCAACATATAGTGGCACAGGATACGCATTAGCATTCCAGAAGGGAAGGGAGCATGGTGAGGAAATACTGGACCTAATAAGACTGAAAGCCAGCTGGGCAAACTTTAAACTCTGCATCTCCATGTCTGATGTCAAAACGCTCTTCAGATCTCCAGCTCCTTTCAACTTTGTGGGGTACAACTTCTTTCTCTTGAGCTGGTTCCATTCCTTGTTAGCAGCTTTCCTTGGCAGGATCCCATAGCTTTACCGTCTCCAACATCTTGGGGTCTCTAAGGCAACCCAGGTTTCACCTTCACAGCTTCACACAATGACCGCCTAGGCCTCCATTCAGGGACACCCTGACATGTGCCTGGCCTCAATGGCTTTCTTTAGTTAACTCCTTTCTTCTATTCTTGACTCTAAAGCCAGAACCATGTGGCCAAAGTTGCCAAGTTCTGCTGCTTGCTGGGACTGGAACGTGGCCCCCTTGTTCAGTGACGTCTCCACCAGCTTTCTGTTTTTCTAGTTTCCTTCGCTGTCTAAGCTTGGCCTTTCTGGAACTTGCTCTGTAGACCAGGCTGGCTTCAAACTCAGGTTTGCCAGCGCCTACCTCCTGAGTGCGGTTAAAGGCATGCAGCACCGCACCTGTCCCTAAGCTTTTCTTTAATTCCTTTTCCAGAGTTGGAAACTTAGTTGTCCTGGAGGTCACCACTAACTCTTTTCTTTTCTACTGTCTCCTTGAACACAGGTCTTAACTCCATTCTGCTTCCTGCTGCTCTTTTTCCTCCTCAAATTGTTCTAACATCTTGTATTTTTTTCTTGCTCAGCTTGCTCCTTTTCTTTATAAATCTTCATTAGAATTACCACTAGTAACCACACAGCAGAGTCTATACTAGGCTGGGCTGTTTTGAAATTTCTTCTGTCAACAGAATTAATCCAAATCTCTTCACTTTAGCCTCAGGCAGAGCCTTCAGACAAGGTCAAAAAGCAGTCACTTCCTTCACCAAATTATCACAAGAATGATCTCCAATTCTCTGAAACCTCTTGAGCAGCCCCCCCCCCCCCCAGTTCAAACCACTCCTACTAGTATGTCCCATTAAACAGTGCAGAAACCATTCCACTGCTTTCCTAACCCAAAGTACCAAAGTCCAAATTCCTCCAAACAAAAGTCTTTGGTACCAACTTCTGTTTTAGGGTTTCTATTACTGTGAGGAGACACCATGACCTTGGCAACTCATATAGAGGAAATCATTTAATTGGGTGGCTTAACAGTTCAGAGGTTCCGTCCATTATCATCATAGCAGGGTATGGCAGTCATGGTGCTGAGCATTCTACGTGTTGCTCAGGCAACAGGATGTGAACTGTCTCACTGGGTGTAGCTTGAGCTTATGTGAGACCTCAAAGCTTGCCTCCATAGTGATTCTTCTCCAATAAGGCCACACTTCCTACTAGTGCCACTCCCGTTGGTGGTCATTTTCTTTCAGACCACCACAAGCAGTAATTAGAAAAGTAAGGAATTGAGAGAAAGAGCCCCGTGTAGTGGTATATCGGGAACCAACTCTCAAAGAGAACCTTTAATCCCAGCTGAGGTTGGAGGATCTCTGAGTTCCAGGCCAGCTTGGTCTATATACCCATGAGTTCCAGGACATTCAAGACTGCATAGAGTTTCAAACAAACAAACAAAACCCCAACCAACCAAACAAGAAGCCCCTATCTTTAAGGTGCTGGAGGTTGCCCAGTGGTTAAGATACTGGATGCACCTGCAAAGGACCAGGATTTGGTTCCCAGCACCTACATGGTGACTCACAACCATATAACTTCAGTCCTAGGGGTCTGGTGCCTCTTCATGTACCAAATGTACATGTGGTCCATA